GCGACCTTGGCACGCTGCTTCTGTTGTGTTAGGTGGTGATGAACGCCACCACATGCCACTAGTGCGGATAGAGGGACACGGTTTGGCCCTGTGGCACGGTCACTAAGGATGATGACCTTGATCCCATCCTCGATAGCTTGGGATGCCTCGCTGCAGACACGTTGTAATGCGAGCTGATATCCTGGGAGTCCCCCTTCTTTGGGGAAGGTTATGTCAATCGTGATGGAGGGCCACCCCGCATATGCAAGCTTCAAATTCTTCATGGCGTTCATTTCCTCTAAGGAAATCAAAGGAGAAGGTAGGAGAATGCGGTGGCACTGTTCCGGCTTCATTTCCAGGAGATTGCCCTCAGGGCCGACGTATGCTTCGAGTGACATGACAATGCTTTCCCGAATAGAGTCGATAGGAGGATTGGTAACTTGGGCGAAGAGCTGGCGGAAATAGTCATAAATGAGACGAGGCTGAGTAGCCATCGCTGCTAATGGAGCGTCGTTACCCATAGAACCCAACGCTTCCTTGCCAGTGTCTACCATAGGCAACATTAGGAGGCTAAGCTGCTCTACGGTGAAGCCGAACGCAAGGAGCTTGGGGTCACTGCTTAGAGGCAAATCGTCAATGACTGTGTCAAGGGAAGTGTTGCTACGGATGATGCGCTTGATGATATTAGGGACATGAAGGACGTGGCTTTCAACCCACGAAGCAAAATTCTGTTTAGCGGCAGTGTTGCGCTTCAACTCCTTGTCGTCGACAATCCTTCCCTCAAGCGTGTCAACCAGCAGCATCCGGCCAGGCTTCAAACGTCCCTTCTGAACTACCTTCTCAGGAGGAATGAACACTGCGCCAACCTCGGAAGCGCAGACCATGATATCATCATTGCTGACAACGTAGCGACATGGTCTGAGACCATTTCGATCAAGATTCGCACCGCAGTACCGGCCGTCGCTGAAGGTGAACAGGGCAGGACCATCCCAAGGCTCCTGAAGACAAGCAGCCCAATTATAGAATGCGCGTTTCTGTGCATCCATGCTCTCGTTGCCTTGCCAGGCTTCGGGTATAAGCATCATGACAGCTTCGGGCAACGTGACAACGCCATTGACGACGAGCAACTCAAGCACGTTGTCAAATGCAGCGGAGTCAGATCCACCGGTCTCGATGATGGGATAGAGCAGGTCGAGTTGATCGCCAAAATGAGTAGATGAAAGTACGCCTTCTCGAGCTCGCATCCAGTTCTTGTTGCCACGCACGGTGTTGATCTCACCTAAGGATTCCACGTCAGGCTTACCTGGCATCGTCAGGTGCAGATCACTAACCGTTATGAGCAGCCCATCTCATTGGCTGAGCTCGATCCCAAGAAGGAAACGTGTTTGTCGAGAATCGAGAATGCACCAAAGTAAAATGCGAACGATACAGGACGTGATTGAGATCATGATAGTAATTGTACACTTGGGGGGGAGTGAGCTGTCCCTTATACACGATGTTCTTCGAGGACAAAGAACAGACGTAAAAGCCGTTGGCAAGCGTACTTCATACAATAAAAAGAAGGTTCGCAGATGGGTGTTAAGCTTGGTTTACGAACTAAATAGATTAAAAGTCACAAACATGGTGTGCGTCGCGTGCTTGCGCAAAACGTACAACTGTCGCTCGAAATGCTTGGCATCGAAAAATCCGTTTTGACTATCGATTCCATCACCGTAATGGTTGCGTAGGACGACGAAAGGCTGATAAATCGTAGGTTCCTTGCTACTTGCGGCAGGACCAAGAATCGTGCCATCGGTCGGGACTCGACGCCACCCTAAAACCCGAAGACCCAGTTGACTGGCAATATTGGCGAAAACGGATTGGTTGTTTTGCAGTTGAATGGGATCATTTGCCTTGAAGAAGACATTGCCTACGGCATATTCTCCTGGTGTAGGAAGAGTGCATCCAATATCCCGTTCTGCTTCGCGCTTGAAAAAGAGATGGGGAATTCCAGTCATGACACCAGCACCATCACCATCACGGCTATCGGCACCGGTGGCGCCTCTGTGCGTCATTGCACAAAGTAATTGACGAGCATCCGAGACAATTTTGTGGCTATGTTCGCCCTTGATATGGCAGATAAACCCCACACCACACGAGTCCTTCTCATTCTCGTTGGAATACAAACCCTGATTCGCAGGAAGAGATCCTGCCCAGGAGTCAGGATCACGTTTCACAGCATGAAAACCATTATCGGCTGTGGACGTCTCATCAGCAACAAGGGGTAGAGGATTTTTGTGATGATCGTCGAAAGGAACAGGAGAAATTGCCATAGGAAGAAGAAGTGGGCGAATATGACAATAGAGCGACAAAAGACGGAAGCTTCTTGAGCTTTTAATCAAAGACGCTGAAGGACCAGGGACGATGGTGGCCAGAGTCAGAGAGTAAAATGATCAATTTACAGCTGACAGGAGTCAGACTAAATTACCAAAATTAGATAAGCCCAGGGCTCACGTCAAAAACAAGCCGAAAAGTCCCGATTCACTCCGATGGCTTCGGGGAAGTGACACCTGTCTCCGCGTGCCCTGCTTACGACACTCGCGCAAAGGATACAAATTCCTGAGTTGCAGAGCTACATCGTGCGCATAAACATGGCGGATGTTCAAGCTGCTTCAGCCTTTCTGCTCAACAGTGCTGATCGCGAGCAAGATCAGGGTGTTTCTCACCCTTTATTACCTCGGTGGTTTAGTCTCCGCATTCGGTAGGCTTCGACGGAATAAGCCTCCCGGCAGGAAAATGCGGGAGACCGTCTGACACCGCCTGGATCACCATATCCGCTTCAGTCCAACTCCTCGTGATGTTGTGTATGCGAGCGCTTGAGATCTCGCAACAGAAGGTGAAGGCCTCCGTAACTGCACCCACTCAGAACCAGCCATTTTTCTTCTCATTTGCTACCAGCGTAGGTTAATGCAGTATGAGCCTTGTGGAAGGGCCCAGGGGTTGGAGACACAGCAAGTCCTCGGACGGGGCTAATATTCTGAAAGTGCTGGATCGGCTTTGGGCATGAGCGCTCGTGCAATAACTGCCAAGAACCGATGACACCTGATACGAAGGAACGACTATCTTCCTTCGATAGGTTTGACTAGGGGAGACTAGACTATACGACTGCGTTCGAACGCGGAGTCCCTGGTCCCCCGTGCGACAGGTTTCGCCGGAAATTGCCATACCGGCAATCATGTTCCGATCGGCGATGCTTGCCAGTCCCCGGGCCTCGGCCGACGGCAATCCTTGCCTGATCCTTGCCAACACCCAGTGCGATACACACTGGCAGGATCTTGAGTAGTATGCAAACCACTGCACGGAACTCTCATGCTTGTAGTACACGAGCCATGTTGCCTGGTGCCGACGGAAATGAATTATGAAGGGCATGATACCTCGGTGTGCGAAAGCAAAACCACATCCATGAATAATGAATCCTGCTACTCTTCGATATGAGCATGACAAAACACTTCTTACAGTGGTACGGCTCGCACCTCATCTTTGCTCACGACTCACACCGGGGTCGATGGACGGGGCTATATGCCGGGTGCACGGTCCGATTGATGAGATCAAAGGACATTGCTCGAGATGGCACCACGAAAACGAAGCATTAAAATGTTGCGAGGAAGCAACCTCAAAGTCCAATGACAGTCTTCGTGTTTCATGTAAGTAGGAAGCAAACCCTCGGACCCGGGGCCCAAACTCAGCGAAACATGAATCCACGATGTCACGTTCGATCGCACCGGGTCGTACAACGTCATGATCAAGAGCATTACTCAAGTGACCGGCAGTACCCAATGAAATCACTTCAATATGCAATATTAAAAGGAACACAGTCGTGCAGCAGTTACTAGTAGTTGTGTTTAGTTGCTGATCCGTTTGCTATTGCTGCGGATGGAGATAACTGAGTAAAAGATTCAATTGCTGCAAGATGCGAACTTCGACACGACAGTGCCAATCGCTCAAGACATCTCGGCCGAAAAGTCCTAGATTTTGCAGCGGCATCAAGGCGGGCCGCGGAGATCAGCCTAGGTTAGCCCAAGCTGCGGTCGGCTGGCAAAGCCAATCAAAGGCGAGAAGAAACCTCAGAGGGCGTGTATGATGGTCACACGAATATGATTTATTGATTCCTTCTCGATACCGAGGAGTTCCTCTTCATGGTTGCTGCGGCCCAAAAGTCGAAGGTAACCCATAAGAAAACGCTTGGGACAGGGACGCAATACAGGAGCTTCGTGACAGTGCCGGTGATAATGGGACCGTCTGTTGACTGATTATTTCCGGCCGGATGATAGTCGGGGGAAGACGTGTGTCCACTTTAGGCCCGAGAGAAGCACTTGATGATTTGGCGAGTAGCACTGCTCTGCGGACATGATCATGAGGTAAGAACTGACCAAAGTCCTATCTACTGGTAGATCTGATGGTGCCATGTTTTGCCATGCTCCAGAAACTCGGATGCCGATGAGCCAGATGTGAATCAGAGTTCTGTCTCATCAAATAACTAGAGAGACAACTGACGCGGAGTTGGTGTGGGCATCTTTCCTTGATTGGGTTTTGATGTTCAAGGATGTGCAATTCGCGATATTTGATTTACCAAGAGGAACACGACTGAATATGAAGCATAGCACATAACCAAGACCGAGGACTTACTTCATTATGCCTTAAGGGGTCAAAGGAGAGAATGGCTCAACGCCAGCGCTGCCTTGCCTGTTGCAGCTTTCTTGATGTCAATCCGGGGGAAGCCGGATGTGTAGGCCCGAATGTCGAAGCGAATGCAGAAGTCTGTAGAGTTGAGAAACCGGTCACATCCCTACAGGCGACTCGGAAACAAGGGCTGCTAAGCAAAAAAAAAACAATGACGGGCCGACAGCACCCAAAAGAGTACTCGCCGACAAAACTGAATGGAGTATCCCAATGAATCAATAAAAATATTACTATTTCGTAGATTCGCAAGCTGGTGAAACAGAACGGTCGATGTGAATACTGTTTTAGACACATGAACAAAGCTATCCAGCACCATCGTGGAGTGCACAGCAAACAGCCGCTGGAGGCGTCCTTCAGATTTCCTCACAAACTGAGACATAACGACTCGCCTTTATGATGGCCATTATACTGTCGCACAGTCTCTCCCGATGCCATCTCCCAAAGCCGGGCAGTGTGATCCGAAGACGCTGGGAGTCGAATTGAATACATAAACTGCAGAGTCAACAGGTGATTTCTCACCTGTAACAAGATAAGCTGAGTCAGCACTGAACGCGCAATCCCAAACCCATCGCTGGTGACCTTGAAGAACCTTCTCTTGTCTGAATTCATAATTTTGTGATATAGACCATATCTTCACGGTGGTATCTGCAGAGCACGTGGCAAGATATCTATCTCTCCCTCAGAGACTTTGCCAAATCGGTAGCTCAAATGCGCTCACTTCACATCTGGACTTAATAATACCCTAGTGAGGTACTTCTTATGGGCGCTGAACTTTGTCACTGCCTGGTAACGAGGTAGATCTGATTTCTCCTCGTTAATTTTCCAGACGTAGCATTTGCCCTAAGCCAAGAATGTAAACGACGAATCATCAAAAGGTAGATAATACCTTATTATTTCCAGCAACTAGGCAAGAGCCATCAGATGCCAAGCTGACAGACCGAATAGGAACGTCGCCTGCAGGCGTCTCCAACAAGGTGTTAATCAATGACGACTGCAACCTTGTTCTGAACATACCAGTTCGTGCGAGCAAAGATTTTCGGATAAATCCCATTGCTTGATGCAACCCGCTTGATCGCAGGATATGAGCTCCCCCTGATTTGGATGGACACAGACATCATTCACTTTGGGAGTTTGAGGGCATCAGCAACAGTCACGAAAGAAGGGATAAAACTTGCCAGGGGCGCCGTTATCGTACGTTCTATGCACTTGTGTACTTCTGCGTGGATGTTATGCGCTCGAGGCTTTAGGAGTCACAGTGAGATCACCCACCGAAGATCCCATATTCTGATGGTGCCGTCTTCACTACCCGTCACTAACCACTTGCCTTCGCTGTGGAAGGATACGGAGGTTACATTATTTGTATGAGCATCCAGGCACGTTAGCTAAGGGGGATAAATGAATGGAGATGGTGATAAATATTAGGACGCGCACTGGTGTCGAGGCGCTGGTAATCTCGTAAATGTAGACCTTTTTGTGAATTGCCGCAGCCAAAAGGCGTTTGCTGAAATAAAATGAATCATCAGTAAATTCATACATGAAGAAACAGGACATTGGGATTACTCGGGTGAGATGGCAAGACGATTCACTTGCTAATCCTTGTATAAGTCTTGACGACGGAAAATGAGAAAACGTATTGCTCACGCCAGACTCTCCAGATCTTGCTATAGTACGCGAACAGATTCCACTCCACGCTTCCCAGAACCTGATCTCATGATCATAAGATCCAGTGACAAGTATTACAGACATCTTGGAGTTCTTGAACAAAGAAGGGCTGAAGGTGTGACAGCGTGACACGTGACAAATGTCATCTTACCTAAAATACTGGGTTGACACTGGGTATCAATATTTTGAAGGTTGAACTCCAATTGAACTCTGTACCTTTGTCTGACATGATACTTCTCTTCGTGGCACATTTCTCAAGATCCAAAGATGCATCGATGAAGGTCCGCTGAGTCCTCGATATTCAACTTCATATTCATGAAATGGAGTTCTGACGGATCGACTCCGAGGATCAACATGACGATCCGGAGTAGGGTGACCCTTGGTCATTTACGCTACTAGTTGATGGAGAGAACTATCCGACATGTGGCTACTTACCTGTGCGTATATGCTCTGGTATAATATTGAGCCCGTGCACTTCCAGAGTCTGCGTGCGCGGCGCACGGATTGTTACGTGTTAGCCGCAAGGCAAGAGGTGGTGGCTATTGGGTCTGTACCTCAGCTTCTTAGACCTCATTCATTCAAAATTTCATGACCCTTTTCAACGGGGAGGCATCGCATTTGATTTTAAGTTCAGCCTCATCGGCATTCTCGAACGGCGAGACGAATCTCGAGATCATCCGTCCGAATGAAATTAGCAAAGCCTTCGGCAATTGTTCCTTAGGTTGCTGGCTAATTAACGTATCTGTAGGATCCCTTCACTGTAAGCGACCTCGCTCATTTCCACACAATCCAACCTATCATGCGTCCACCGTTATATGGCAAATTAGACACGGCCTCGTCAGGTTCTCAGAAGCAGTACTAGTTCCCTATCACCGACCGAAGGTGTTGAAGTAATGTAATCTGCATACAGACTCACATATAAAACAGGAGGACGGTACCATGTCTCTCTCAGCTCCCGGCTTCTCCAAACTCGACGTTCGTGTACGGTATCTACTGTTTTGGCTATGAACGCTTTCCCAGTAAGCTGTATTCCACCTGACTCAACACGCATCCTGACCGAACTCTTAGAATGGCACTCGAGTCTTCTACTGGGCATCCGGCGGTGAAATCAAGTACGGTACTGTGCAGGCCACCAACCGTATGGCCGATGTAGGAATTCTACGCTATTCTGGAAGATATTCTTCTAATGATCTATCTCATAGGGTACCCAGATTGTGGTGGTGAAGGTAGATGGGGAAGGTCACGCACAGTTACCGTGGGTCTCCACTGATTCATAAATGATGTCATTCTCTCTAATAACATACATCCACAGAGTGTCCAGCCTCGTAAAAGTAAACCAATGAGATTCACGACCTATAGAGCCCACTTAGAGTTATTTATTGCATCCATATCCCGCACTCCGCATTCATGGACCTCAGGATCATCACATCACTAGTACTGTATTCATTCGTCTCGTTGCACATGTACCTCGTCCGTTTATATTTGGCGATCGATTTCTTGCACTTTAGTCGAGGAGATCGATCCTGGGATCAATCAATCTGCTGGGATCTGCTTTCCGAGTCGCGTGGCATCATGTGAGTTACCAAGGGATTGGGAACTGATAAATCCGGCGAAAGCATTTTGCAGCCCCAGAAACCGCATGTCTCTGATTTTCCAATAAACAGTTCATGATTGTCCCGCACAATTGGGGTGACCACTGGTGACCGGTGACTGGTGACCAGGCGGAGTAAGCAGAGCAGGGACTTCTTCGCGGAAGCAAAAAAAAAACATCCATGTCATTGCTATAAATCGAGGATAGATCGGGGTTCGCGGGTATTTCCTTCGACAAAAGGAGTCTCGTAGAGAGAGATCAAGAATCAAATGATATACCCTCTATGCCTGGCAAGTGGGACCTTCTAGAACACCTGATCTTGAAGATTGAGCCGGTTTTAACCTCAAATACCCTTGTTGTGTTTCTCGCTTCGCTGGATTTTTGGGCATCAAGTCCCCAGCACACAACCAGAAATCTGGGGGGTAAATATATGTGTGTCATCAATTGTTGAACGGCACTTGATCGACGAGCGGATATGTAGCAGAAGACGTCTACGACGCTCAACATGCAAAATTTACAAACACACACGGTTCAATTGCGTCTACATCAGTGTTGTGACGAAATTACTAACGTAATTTACATATGCATTATTATGTAGTAACAAAGAGAAGCAATCGATCCAATCGATCCAGAATCGACCGAGCTCGAGGTCGTTGCTAAATCAGGAAACCAGATTCTACGTACTGCACTTGCTACAAACCGCTGCAATGATACTTATCCTAGTAGTACGTAGCGCCCCAATTACGCAGTATCATTATGTCCAGCGAGACAGGAGATAGACACCGCAACGAGCGTGTGGGAATTTTGAGCGAGTGTGTTGTAAAACATATGTTACATAAATCAGACGGTGCACCATATTGTTTGTTTTTCTCAAGTTCGGCTGTCGGAAAAACTTGCAAAAACGCGTCCTATTCTTTTGTTGACTTTTAAGTTGTCCTTTGTGAAAACTTTCACAGTGCACTAAATACATCTTGATGACAGCATTCTCAGATCTCTCTATCCCGCGACGGGACGCAATGCCGTCCTACAAAAATTTCTGCAGTTAATCTGTTCAGATCCATCCTCGATGTAATAGTATCAAGTTACTCAGCACTAGTACTGACCTTATATGCGGTATGCCTGTGAATTATAGGTAAACGATAAACGACAAACGATAGTAGTATCTGTGATGAGATCTTACATAAACGAGGTGATCTTGCTTGGCGTAAAAGTCCAAACTAGGCAATTTTCATTTCTTCTCAACCTTGCAGTAAGTCGGAGTAGGTAGTATACTACCTTGCAGACTATGTATACCTAGCCTTATTCCCCTACGATTTATTCCTGGGTACCGGCAATTTCGTGAGCCACACTTTTTCGCAGGGATTGCCGTGACATATCATTGTCATCACGATTCCGCACCAAAAAATTGAGTTGCACATGCTCCGTGACGAATATCAGATGGATCTAAAAATGCTATTTGAGCAGCACCACAATGCCGATTTCATTCGAGCTAAGTATGGTGAATTTTTCTGATAGTCAGTTTAATTATCATAGTTAGGAAATCATAATATTCAGATCAAGCTGAGTCCCAACAGGACGGAACTTCCGAAGGAAAGGCTTTAGTTGAATGAAATGTGCGGTAAAATCGCTAGTGCCTGTCCATACGACGACACAGTCCCGGATTGGCAAGCGTGCCATTCATGTGAAGAGCGTGAAACCCGTTGCTCAGCCGTAGAAAAGATAACCTTCCATTACACCAGGATGGAAGTGCGCTTGCCCCCTTAGTCAAAATCCAATGAGCTCACTTATGAATTGGATGTAGGCACTTCCTTTCGGTCCTGAGCGTGATAAAATATTATGCGCCATATCCGTGAAGAACACTGGACTTACTCTGATCATTATACTAACTCGTTGGCCAGCCTTGATCTCGCATCCAAGGAAATGGCTCGCTTTTAGTACAGAGTGGTTATAATCGTACCGCACGCTATCCCTACTTCGACTTTTAGCTTCTAGTTGAAAGCATATCGACTGCACTTGCATTTGTAGATAAACACTACCCGATGGGAGCAGAACCTCGAAAGAGTCATCTGGGTTGCTCGTCGACTCCATCCGTAGTACTCTGGCTGCGCCAAGACTGACGCCGAGAATCCAAGTTCCACTGGCTTCTATATTATCCACATGTCCGAGAATCTCCCCCACGGATGACAGGTGTAAAAGATGTGTTTGTATCTCCAAGGTTGGATATAGCCCTTGCAAACGAGCTAGAATGAAGGAAAGACCCGGATTCTGATCCTCCGGCCAGGATGACAAGTGCATCTCACGATAATGTCGTATCACGCCATCATAATGGCCCTGTGATTATTTATAAGCCAAACTCTTGGACAAACGCGATATGCAACCTCTTGGAAATTGTAATATGCGTCAGGAAGGAAAATGTCTTCCACCGCACGATGCTCCTGTGGGTGGTTGGTAAGGAAATCCCTTCGCTGCTTCCGAGCTTGTTTGGTTTCGGTAGAATCGAGTTTAGAGAGTGCGACGGAGAGCAATGTGCGCTGCTCCGAGAGGGACAGAAATTCCGGGAAAAATTTGAATCCATCTGGGAGGCCAGCGGACCTGGTTCGTATGAAGGAGTGAATTTCGCGTGACAACGGTGCACGCAATAATCGTCTATAGCTGACAGAGAACATGTTCGACTAGGCCATAAACTTCGGGAGATGTAAGTTGAAAAATCGGTGCGTCAATTACACAAGAGTAAGTAGATATAGTGGATGTCAACTTGGAGTCAACTTTCAAAGTTTGAGCTCCGCTGCATGGAACTTGCATGAAGCGTCGGTACTTTTAACCCGCTGCAGATTCAAGCGATAACTTATCTGACGGTATTTCTCGAGGTTCAGCAACTTTTAGCTTGTGTGAATGTCGACAAGTCTTCAGGACAGTGCATCCAAAGAACAACAAGGCAATTCGTTGTACGCAGCACTCGCCAGGACTACCACAAGGGGAGTAGCTCTTTACTTCTCTCGCCCGGTACGGCTATTTCGACCAGCCAAAGGTTTGTCTGTCTGATCATTTTCATGATAGTCTCATTGACAACACTCATTGTTGAGTGAGTGGTTGGCACTCTCTCCGTGGTCATGCTAATAAGCATGGGGCACCTCTAAGTGTCCAGTACATATCCGCGCTCGTGAAAAAGCAAGGTGTAGTGCTCTCTTGTCGTTATTTCATACCTTTTCTTTAATTTTGATCGGGCTTTGGCAGTTCATGGTAATTCCAAAACATTTTGTGCCGCCAATGGTCGCAAATGCAATGCTGGGTACTGTTCTATGGGCGACCTACACAGAAACATCTAATTACCTGGAAGCGCGTCTGGGGACGCATCCAACTTTTATCGCTGCGCTTTCGGGCGCCGCTGCTGGTGGCACCCAAGCCTTGATTGCGGCTCCTGTAGAAAATACTCGCCTCGTTATCGAGGGTGGCACCAGTAGAGGATGGTCTCATGCATGGCAAGAAGTCTTCCGAGGAACCGAACCCCCAAAGTCAGCCAGTAGAGCAGACAATATCAAAGAGATAAGACAGGTGAGACATTGGATGAAGGAGGTTTCTGAGATGGCTGGTCGGGGATGGGATGGTTGGGGTTGGGGGTGTGCTAAAGATGTTTGCGGTAATGCCTCCACGAGTCACAACCCGCACTTTCTGAGATTTCATTGTTGTTCAGGCTTTGCTGCATTCTTTATGATATTTGAAATCACTCGTAGAGTGGCATTAGCTTCCAAAGCTGCAGCGCAAGGCACTGTGCAAAATTTATCAATGAACCCAGAAGAACACTTCTTCGGCCGCCATTTTCCACGAGCCATTCATGGTATTACCTTAGTGGCAGGAGGGGCATCGGCGGGTTTGGCATACGAGATCCTCAGCAGACCATGGGACGTAACCAGGCGCACAATTCAACTAGAACGGACCGGTCATCCCACTCTGAAACATTCGCTATTGGTGATTGTACAGAAAATTCGTGGGGATGGAATAATACATTTTTTCCGTGACCCTTCGATTGTGGGCAACGAAAACCCGGAAACGTCTATCACTCGTCGTCGGATATATACCGGCATTCGAACGCTTGCTCGAGTCGGCCCATGGGGTTTGGGCTTTTTGGTATGGGAGGCTTTCGGACCGGGTTTGTCCTGACAGAGCTACGATCAGCATGTGGATAAGCATGTATCCCAGGTACTTTATCCCATGCAGGCAAGTTATAGTCGTGCAACGTAACCCCGTTTTCTCACCGTATTTCTCACAACCAGTGGGCACCTTACTGGAGATAGATAACATGATTTGTCAGTGGCAGAGGCGAATTCATGCGCAGATTTTACCGATAGATGCTAATAAGCTCAAGTGTTCTACCTACGATGTTTCTGGACAAGGGAAGTTCAACTCAAAAGGTCGATCGTCTTACGTACGTACGATCTTCGTACTGGTGGCTGTACAGCATCAACTTGTGGCACCGCATCAGTGAGTACTAACTTGTGCTAGTTGAGTGCGTAGAACCGCGTTTCAAGCATGTGTCCCTCCCCTGAAATTTATCTTAATAAATCCGAACTTCAGATACTCACTCGTGAGGACGCAAATTTTCACTTTCACATCATGTTGCTAACAAAGGGGGCAAACCGAGACCGCTGGGTACGAAAGTGTGTTGTTCGAGTCGCACCACTAAAGTTTGAAACATGTAAAGTGAGTTCATTGAAAAATACAATATATTTCACCGCAAGGGGCATCACCAAGTGTTAACAGTCTATCCGTAGCCCTGCCTGCTGCGCCCCGAGGAGTAAGTAAGTATCCACTAAGGAGCGTAAACACGCACTGATTGTCGAGTCAGGGCGTAGCATTCCATTGCCAATTTGCTATGCTGCTGTTGCTCGGTCGTGGCACTTCCTTTCCCATGCGATTTGCGGAGCTTCCACACCTCTCCGGATGAACTACTAATCGGCAACGACGTGGGCGTTATGGCAGTTTCGGAGCGTCTTGCGGCCCTTGCCGCACGGTCTGAGAACGCTTGACACCTGGATCCTTATAGCTGAGAATCTCGGCTCCAGGAAATGCTTCCATTATCACAATGGAACTTCAATCTCCAATGGAACAAGAAAAGTTACGATATATTGCTCCAAGGCGGCAAAGCTGCTACTTTGCAGGACCAAGTTCACGTGTCAATGGTTTCTAGTTTCATGACCGAGGCGCCGAAACAAAACGTGCTCCCTGAACACTCTGGATACCTCCGGACTGCATGAAAGACTAATAACGACATACAGGTTGTGCAAAAAGTGGACACGAACCGAGCCTGAATCACATGGTTTGACATATGACCCTTCAGTAACTTCGCCACTGGCTAGGACTCGCATACACTTGGTTGTGAAGTAGGCTTTGCAACCCCCTGACTGCTGCGTACCGAACGTTCAGCACAATGAGTCATTTAACCTTCTTTGTGAATAAGCTTACTGAGTATAAAACTTACCTTAGTCCACAATTTTGTTCATTCCCCCAAATTAATGACTCATCTTTCATGACAGGGGTTTGTTCTCGTGTGTCGCGATATCAGTCCAAGCCTTACCCATATCAGAGTTCCTGCATCTTACCGATAAGCCACTGGGCTTGTTGTCTATGGTGCGAAACCCGGGAATCCTGCATGACGTGAATAGTTTCGTCACGGTCAATGATCGAGAGCCTGCATAGATCCTATCCCCCTTTTCGTGCCAATGCAAATTCCGTCATCGCGGCACAGAAGAGGAACATACTTATTTGTGATTGGTACCCGTTCTATCGACATTCAATGGTATCCAGACCGCTGAGCATTTAGTTCATGTCAGAGTCGTGATATCTGACACCGCTATAACGTATAGCTATGATCCGCAGGGTGCGGTAATACAGGGTGTCTCACAGGGCCGTATCACACTTCCGTGAAAGGATTTTGTCCACTCTTATTTACCGGATTGGCACGGTCTCCGTCGACCCTTCCATAATTATAATGCAGCCTCTTATGAGCCACTCTTTTCCGCAAGAAAATCGTTTATTATTCACGTGTGGTTGTGTGCCCTATTATGTAGATTGTACATAGTAATGTGGTCGATTCCCTGTATAAAAGGTCCATTTGACTTTTGACTCGCGCCTCGTATCTGATGAGGGCGTGAGTGTGGAGCGATATATAAGGGCAATGTGAAACAATCAGGGCATGGGGGTATTAGGCGTGCACGGTTAAGTACTCGGGGTTAGAACTGCTCGGCGGTGTGAAGAGGCGCTGAGAATAATGAATGCTCAGCGGGCCTGCACTGGAGACCACTTCATCGAGTCATTTGTATAATACTTAGGATGTCACCATAATAGAACAAGTCTGGGATGTACTTGTCGGTAAGTAGCTTCCGAAAAAGTGTAATACGCGCAATTGAATAGCGTGGTACGTCGCAATGCGCTGCGCAGGGCCGGACAAGACATCTTAGAGTGGTGTTCTTTGGGTATACCATTTTCTCTCTAGTGGTCAATGATAGAATCACTAGAAATCACTAGAATAAGCACGGCGATCGATTATGTAAGCAAATTAGATAGCAGAATGAACTTTGAACAGTACGAAGTTGATACCGGCGTTGAACGTGTACATCCTGAGTACTTTGATTGCAAGCAACTCATATTCGACTCGCAATGCCGCATTGTACACGAAAAGGTTGCGGCCAGAATTACGATTTAGCTACTAATGATCCGTCCAGCTGCACGTACCATCCTGGAGCACCTGTGAGCCGCTGTAACATCTTAACGTCGAATCACCGCAGTTGAGTTCAGCCTTTAGGTCTTCCACGAAGGCCTGAAATCGTGGTCTTGTTGCTCCGATGTGAATAAGCCTGTCTTGGACTTTGACGAGTTCATGAAAATACCTGTAAGTCCTCCGCGGGTCTTCAGTCATCGCAGCACAGTGTGGGTTGACAATTTTATCGGTAGGGATGTACGGTCTCGTCACATACAGACGAAGCCCCAGAAGTCCCTGTCCCTTCTATAAAGACATCGTCAGTCAACTCCGGTCTAATCATGAAGGAGGCAAAAGACGGAGCGGAGGTTTATTCGACCGGTGCACCGAAGATTGTGTCGCCTAAGCCATCCGTTCACCCACCTGTGGAAGCTCCTGTTGTTGAAGATGAAGATGATCTCGACGTGCCCGTAACTCCTGGCACCTTTTGTAAACGCAAAAGCTGTGGTGTTGCTTTTGTCAGTGATGAGGTGAATCGAATCGGAGATGGCGATAAAACTATCTGCACATATCACCCAGCTGCTGTACGTTGATGGTGTTAATGGTGGGCTCGCCCGTCGGCTGACTCAAGACTTCAGCCCATCTTTCATGAAGGAAGCAAAGTCAGTCACGTGGACACCGCACCGACGAGAAACTAAAACCCCTCCCACAGGGTTATATATGTTGTAAACGACGTGTCTTGGAGTTTGATGAGTTCCTCAAGATTGAGGGATGTAAAAAGGGGCGTCACGTGTTTGCGCCTAAGTTGCGTATGGAACCTCAGGTTTGTTCTCTCGCTGCCACCTTATCAGTCGAGGGACTGGATTGAATGTGTCATTTTAGGCGGAGCAGTTCACTGACTGCCGTGTCGACCATTATCAGACACCAAAGGAGGTCCATATTTCTGTGTTTGCCAAACAGGTGAACAAGGAAAAGAGCACCGTCACGATAGAGGACAATCAGATTCACTTCGACCTCTATCTCCCTGGATCCAAGCGCTTCCGCCGTACAATCGTTCTTTTCGGTCCAGTGGATCCCGATGGGTCTTCGTACAAATTCTATAATACGAAGGTTGAAGTGGTCCTCAAGAAACTTGATACCAGGAGTTGGACTTTACTCGAAAAGACAACTCGTGATCTTGGTAACATCAGCTTGACTTTCGGTGTAGGTGGCCGAACAGGCACCATTGGGGGCAAAGACTTAGTGCTTGATGAGCAAAACACAAATAGAGTCAATTAGAAGATCGAGGGTAATACGCGAAAACTCTAGTCTAAATTTCTAGTGTAAGGATAAAAATACCATAGTGATAGTTTGAACTTGAAATATCCCGGATCATAATACGCCAGGTATTTCGATCGTCTGATACATCTGTATCAAGTCGCCGTCGCGCAAATCCTCATAGTCCTGCAAGCTGATCCCGCATTCAGTACCTTTTTTTACCTCCGGCATATCCTTCTTGTGCTGCTTAAGCGCATCGAGGAAACCCTCATGGATTACTTGGCCATTGCGAACAACTCGAGCCCCTTTTGACTTCTCGATGGTGCCATTACTGACTCTGCAACCTGCAATCTTCTTGGTAGTTTTCCCTTTTATGTGGATATCGAAAAGTTGTAAAACAGTCGCCTCGCCGGTAACTTTGGTCTCATAGGTGCAAGGCAGCAATGCGGTGACGCGGTCTCGGACCTCGTCCATGATCCGATAGATGATTTTGGACGAGTAAATTGGGACGTGGTTCTGTGCCGCAGTAGTCTCCACTGAACGCGGAATGTTGACCGAGAAGGCAACAATTATACCTATGTGCGCAGTATCAGCATCTCAGCCTCACAAAAATCACCACAACTTGGGGTCCTTACCTTCAGCGGCCTTGGCCATCATCACATCACTCTCCATTACATCCCCTACCCCTGTGGATACAACCTTGACACGCGCCTTTTTATTTCCGATTCCTTCCAGCGCGCCCACAACAGCCTCAACACTCCCGCTCACATCACCTTTAATGACCAACCGGAGCTCTTTAGGGCCGCCATCTAATATATTCCTCATATCTTGACTCTTATCCTCTTCCTTCCGGACTCTTTCGCGTTCTGCAGCGCGCGCAATATTAATTGCCTCCGCGTCAATCAAAACGGTTTCCACTTCCTTTTTCCTAACCCTATTTGCAAGAGCTTTCTTTACGTCGCCTTCGCTACCCTGCACAACTTCATCACCTGCGCCCGGAAGTGACCGCCACCCAGACACGGTGACCGCCATTCCAGGATACGCGACCTTAACAGGTGCACCAGATGAATCCGACATAAGACGGACTTTCCCGGAAGATGTGCCTGCCAGGATGTGAGTACCAGGGGTTAGACATCCACGTAAAACCAGAACTGTCGCAGTGGGCCTGTAAATGAATAGGCGGTCAATCGAGGAGATACAGCGCTTATGAACCTACCCAAGACCTTTGTGCATCCTCGATTCGATGACGTGCCCATAGGCTGGCCCATCTTGCTCTGCACGTAAATCCTGTACCTCGGCGATCAATGACAGGGTGTCTATTAGATCATCCAGTCCATGTCCTGTCAATCCGGACACTTCAACGGATGGAATGTCTCCCCCAAATACCTCCAGCTGGACGCCCTCAGCAAGGAGTGCATGCTGAACTTTTTCCTGCATAACCCATTCCGTTAAGCCGCCATAACAAGGCGATCCAGAAAATACCCACTACATCCGCTTCTGGTTTATCAACCTTGTTGATAGCCACGACGACGCCAACTTTGTCTTGCTCTCCCTTGATAAGCTCGATAACCTCTTTTGTCTGAGGCATCACACCATCATCCGCTGCGACAACAAGCACAACAATGTCCGTAACACTAGCACCACGCGAGCGCATTGCAGAAAAAGCAGCGTGTCCGGGTGTGTCAAGAAATGTAATTATGCCACTAGAGGATTCCTTGACAGGGACCGAGAAGGCACCGATATGCTGTGTAATACCACCAGCCTCGTTATCAGCAACAGACGCCGAGCGAAGGGTATCCAGAAGAGTGGTTTTACCGTGGTCAACGTGACCCATGATAGTAATGATGGGTGGGCGTGTAGGAAGAGTAGTTGGGTCAGGATGTGGAACACTGAACGTTGCATGAGTATCCAAGCATATTAGATATCTCAGACTACGCACGGGGGATATATATCAAAAGCAGCTTCATCATTAATAATAGGATTGCGGCCAAATTCTTCCGCGAGAAGGGCAGCGTAATCGGACGTCAACACTACAGTAAAGCATCAATAACGGGGGGAAAGGGATGGAACGAGCGAGACCATGATCATACGAGGCTTCAGCCGCCATCCCTGCATCGATCATCTTGCGTTGAAGTAGTGCTGCAATTGTTGAGTCCACGAAACCCCCATGAAGTCATCAGTAACTTACTCTGCCGCACATTTAATAGTCTTGCTAGTTGACCAACGGAAACTGTCGTAGGAATGTATATCTTAGAGGTAGACGGGCGCTTCCCCGTACGGGGCGCTCGGTCTCGTTGCAATTTCTGACGAGAGGTAGAGCCACGGCTGGGAGTATCGGACGCCCTTGTTAAAAGATTATTCATGCCAGGTTGCGATTGAGGAGTTGCGGGACGAGCCCATTTTGAAGCGGAGGGAGCAAGTCCACCACGCAAATACACGCCTCGGAAGTCATCAGAGTCGCGATTAAAGGATGTCGTTTGTGCTCTGGCCCATTTGCTTAGGGTTGGCTGTGGAGGAAGAACGGGATCAACGGACGACCATTCCGGTAGCTAGCGAAAAGGTTATGACGCTATCATAAAAAATTGTAGCGGTGCCCACCTTGACTTTAGTTGCCGTTGATGCACACCTCCGCTGCGTGAGCTGAAGAGCGCAAATACCTGCTTTGCGACGATGCATTTGAGGTACTTGTCAAGGTCGGCGTCTTCTAAGGAACGCAAGTGAATGATTACGTAATTGACACCACCACTTCAACAGCACTCGTTTATCAGATTTACCTATATATGCATAGTGTCGACCTGCACTTTGACCAGACATTATAGTTATGAGCGGTTGGTTCAAGTGGCGGTGGTGGCTCAAGCTCAAATGTCTGTTTCTACAGTGTGATTAATCTGTGGAATGATGTACAACACAAATTTATGAGAACGACAGAACAAGACAAGTACAAAACCTTGGGAGCAAAATAGAGAACCAGATAGAGACAAAAAGGGAAAGGAACACAATAATACCGCACCAACAAATCCCATGTATATCAATGCATCCTGAGTAGACGCGAACCTTTCCCGATACCACACATATGCTACTCCGCCATCCTTCCAGTTCCGAAAATCTGACGAGGACGTGGCCGGATCAGCCCCGCCCCGCACTGACCCGGCCCCAACTCCCTTCACTACTACTGGCCTCACTGCCACTATCAAAATCACTTCCCTCGTCAAAGTGTGAAAAAGGGTTATGCAAACGCGCACTTCCGATTCGCGACACCGACATTTCCTCCCCATCCGCATCTGACGCCTCGCCAAACGACATAAACTCATCCTCGCTCATCGTCGAGGGCGACAGAGAGCTTGCAGCACCTGAGAGGGACGCGCGCTGCTCGGGTGGAGAGAGTACGGCGAATGGCGAGCCAGAGCGGCTGCCACTGCTCCCAAGGCTCAGGACGTCTGTGTTTGGGGAGGAGAGGACACTCTGTGATAAGGGCGGGGAGAGCAGGACAGGCGGAGTGACCGCGGCGGGGTAACGTTCTGATAGTGATTCCACAACGCTAATGTTTGCACTCATATTCTCGTGCATACTCGCGCTGGTATTGCTATTGATATTGACGTTGGCGTGTTCGTCCTCGACGTCAACGTCAACGTCTACACGCCTGCCTTGTACATCCACCCTGATGCGCGAATTCGTATCCAAGCGCAAAGACCAGCTTGACTGTGTGCGGGAGCGCACAGGCGTGCGCACAACCGGGGAAAATGGGCGAGCAGGATAGGCGGCGCTTGTGCGGGGGGTGTCGGGGAGGATGGGGCCGAATGGAGGGCTAGGAGGGGGTGAAGAAGAGTGGGAAGACGGAGCAAAAAATATAGTAGTGTTACCCTCGCGCTCACCATCACTTGCGGTGTGGGAAGAGGCTCGGGAGTGGGCACGGATGGGCGTGCGGGTGGATACAGATAACGTTTCTGTGAAAGGGGAGGAGACGTTGGAGATGACGTGGGTGGGTGCGACCGGAGTGTGCGTGAGGGATGTAAAGGACTGTACATGTTTGATCAACATTCGGGAGGGTGCGGTAAGATGGAAATAGAAGAAATACATCATCTATTGTGGTAGATATACCCCCTTCATCTGTATCAGGGATTGCTCTGACTCTCCGCCTTACATTCGCATCTTGGGCGGTGCGATGCACCCTATTGCGCCACTGGTCAACGAGATCGAGATTGAGGCCTTCCAGTTCGATGGAATCTTCTTCTCTCGCAGGAGTCCTTTTCTTCGGATCAGCACCGCTGGGACCCGGGTCTCCATCCCCAGACCCTCTGGTGGATGGCACAATAATAGGACCTCCACGTCGAGCACGACGCTTTGCAAGGAAATCCTCTGCCCAACGCTCCATGGCAGGGGCGATGTGGGGTTCGAAGACGAACTGAAGAATGTATTAGAGGGATGTATTTGAGAGCGGGGGAGGACGGAATGGGATTTTTGTAGACAGAAAATAGAAAGCCACCTCATGAAAAGCAACAAGAGCAGCAGCACCTGCAATAGCTGCAACGACGTACACCGCTACTGGCGCTGGCATCGTGATCAATTCGATCAGCAGCTGACTACTTCGGTGAGAGGTTTGAGTGCTAGGGGTCAGTTACTAATTCTAGTTAGTCGAGTATGCTCAACGACTTGGACGATGTAAATACTGTTTGCCGACGTCGTCAATGGCGATGAGGACGAAAAGCAGGAGGTAGCAAGAGTCGTCGCTTGCTGTGGTCGATTGCAGCAAGCCTAGAAAGCGCCCGATCCGCATGCCTAATCATTACCCAATCAACGCCCGAAGCCCGGCCGGGTCGGATTTATCCTCGGGCACTTGGGTGGGCCAAATCAACACCTTCTCCGCGCCCCGCTCCCGACACTCGCGCAAAGGATACAAAACCCTGAGCTGCAAAGCTACATCATGCGCATACACATGGCGGATGTTCAAGCTGCTTCAGGTTCTGCTCGACAGTGCTGATCGCGAGCAAGATCGAGGTGTTTCTCACCCCTTATTAAGTACCTCGATGGTCCAGTCTCCGCATTCGGCAGGCTTCGACGGAATAACTTGAAGCCTCCGTGAGGAGAATGCGGGAGACCGTCTAGCACCGAGTGGATCACCAGGTCCATATTCGCTTCAGTCTGACTCCTCGTGATACATATTACCTTGTTTACAAGGTCACTCACAGCTTATAATTATGGCTGGACGATAAGGTTATGCGGCCGTGAGTGATAGCCATTGAATTGTACTTGCAAAACCGATAGATCTAGACAACCCTACGATGAACGGTAAAGAAGGTCCCTATCGGTGAAGTTTGGCCCTTTCCTCTAGTTAAATCTTCTACAGTGACATACTGACTCGGATATCGTCCATTTCGTGCTTTAGTTATGGACCTCCATGATGAGTCACCTATTCTCTGGGTGCGGTCCATAGTAGTCGGTCACCTTGGCCAGTCAGAATACGTTCTTCAAACCACAGAGGTTCGCCATTCAAGTCTGTCCAAAGAGTCTAAGTTGAAAGACCTTCACGAATCACGAGTACATCAGGAGAAACATTCGCCGAAGTCCCGCAGGAGTGGCATCTTTGGCGAAGACGACTCTTTCTTTGGTAATGCAATATTTGTATTCTCAGTACTCAGACTTGTGTGATAACAACCAGCCCAGACTTGCCCAGGCGCATTCTTTCCACCGCCTCCAAGCCCAACCCGAGCCTCTGACGGATTCATTTACCCATTTTTCAAAGAGTGAAGGGAGGCTCCGGGCCTAACACTTTAATTGATGTGCGTAGCACGCCCATCGGGACTGTCAACAGGGGATTCCGCGGTTATAAGGCAGGTAAGTTAACGGTATACCCAATATCTGTATTTCAAAGTGTTGTCAGGGGGGCAACGATCTTCCCCGCAGATTTTCACTGATACAGATTCTGACAGATCATACCGCTGAGATTCCAATCATACTGATCTGGGGGCGTACCGCGGTTGATAGGACAATATGTCACGCCACACGCCCAGACCTATCCGATTCAACACCGCAATAGCCCACTCTTGGCAAGCATGCAGTAAATGTATTTCAATGGCTCCATCGTTACGATTCTTGTAATTCATTGCGCGGTATTAACTGTCATAAATAGTGTTTTGCGACGGCAAGTCAGTTGCCGAGGGTTCTGATAGGGTTTGGTCATCAATGTCTGGCAGTAAAAATCGATTATGATTACTTCCCAAGACCTTCGAAGGATTTGGGTTCCCGATCTGGTGGAGCTCAGGAGAATGAAAGTAAGTACTTGTGGAGTATCTCATTTTATCGTACTGCTTTATCGGGCGATGTTGCAATTGGGAGAGTACAACAAGTTTATTGATGCAATTATAACATAAGACAGGTACAAAGTGATAAGGATAACGACATGCAAAAAACTACCTGAGAATGTCAGTAACCTTCCCCAACTTCACATAAGGTTTCCAAGAACAATTTCAGGTCCTCTTGCTCGATTTCGAGTACGCTGGCATCAAAGGTACTGTGGCGTGACCGCGCATTGCAGCGTTGTTTTGCTTCGATGAATGCTAGGCCAAACTCGCTGAAGTAAAGTGAACCATGTAAATACTAACGAGAAGGTGTGAATGTCCGACTTACTTTCTTCTGACATCCCCAAAGTCAAGCGCTCCCATGATACCGACTACAACATACGTCTGCGTCCTTTCGTTCAGGCAAGCAACGACAAATGGGAGCGATTTCTTTCCTCTTCCTTGGAGGCCTCCAATTTTTGTCCCTGGGAGGCGGTCACGAAGCGCATCTACTAGCCAAAGTCCTAGGCGCGCGAGAACCCCGGGATGGGCGAAGAGAGCAAGATCAGGCCCTTGTGAGAGCACCACGACGCGATGTGAGCGCATCGTTCGAATGTCCTGCTTGTCTATTATCGACGTCCCTTGCCGAATAATAGCACGGTGAAGTGACATTGCAAGTGACAAAGCGTCTCTCAGGGGTACAATGCTACACACAGTTATTCCAGAAACATGTAAACGGGAAGAATGAGCACTTACTCCGACAGAGCATCATAAGCAGCCCAGAAATTCTTCACCCACCATGTCCTTTCCTTTCGCTCTTCGCCGTCAACATCTGCATCCACATCATCATCCCCATCCTTTTGTCTGCTACCGACTTCAATTCGCTTCTCCCGCTTCTCCTCCCCTTTCCGCCCTCCTTCCCATAATCTCCCACCACCGAACCACTCACCCCCGTGCCGTGCGCCTTCAACCTCGACCTCCATCCTGATGCCACCTGCAACGTCGAGCAATGCGCTTACTGCTTCCACAGCGTCCGCTGCACCGAGAGGGGAAGCGCGGTACCCAAAGCATCTTGCAAAAGACGGATACGTTAACTCAACAAGGCCATATTCTGGCGCGATTGAGTTGAGTTTCGCACGCAGCTGGTGCTTCAAGTCAAGATCCATGTGCGCATAGGGCTGCTGCGTCTGCGGGATAGAGAAACTACGGAGAAAGAGTTTCAGCCGTGACAAATGAAGGATGCAAAACAGTGTACCCCATCTTCGCGAGCAGCCCGGTGAGGCGCTTCCGTCCACGCTCTTTCCATATGCCAAGCTTGCCCGCAACGTAGCTTGAATGGTACATTGCATCATACAGCGTCCAATGTCGGAAAAGCATAAAACGCAAATCCTCAGCTGCCCGTACAGATAGATCGTCTGGGCTCATGGCTGTGATGGCATCTGTCGTATTAGCAGCGACGTCTGGCGGGAGCGGGTTCAGGCGGAAAACTTCGTCGTAGTATATTGAATGGTATTTGTCGTAGGTGTTGCGAGATATTCGAGCGGTGGTATACTGGAATGTGAGTCCAAGGATCGCAAGCCTGAAGGACAATTCTCGTAAATCAAGACATGGGAGATCAGTAAGCAATTTACCAGAGCAAATCACAGTCCACTCGTTCAAGAACAGTTGCAAGGATGTACATTGTTGCTGACGCACTTTGACCATACCACGACCCGCTCCCATAGTATTTGGCGATAAGTTTGTGATGTGTTTCGCGTTGTTCTCGTGACAGCCGGGTAGATTGCTTCAATCATATGCTTAATAATAAAGCGACAATGGATTGGGTGAAGGTTGAATAATGACTCACGTCGTCTAGCTTCCGACGCTTCTCTTGACTTCGATCACCGTCTCCCAATGATCTCCTCTTGCCCGAAGGGCCTCGATCAGAGAATCCTTCGTCATCATCAAGATCATCGCCTTCATTTGATCGCACGCTATCTTCATCGTTCAACTCCGAGTCCTCATCAGAGTCGGGTTCAGGTTCGTACTACATCCAAGTTAGTAGGAACCGCAGTGTAGTGATCATCATATTCACCGTTAGAGCTTCCCAAGCCTTTCTTTCATCTCCCATATTCTCTGCTTCACCGTCATCCCATACAATAAATCTTTCGCCATTCTCGCCTCCAGCAAACATGTTCGCAAGGTTCTGTGGCCGGTTTGAGTCTATGATGTGCACTGTGAGCTTCATGCTGAATTCGCCAAACCAATTCTCGGATGAGAGATCAAGGATAGCACCCATGTTTAATAGAATGAGTGTGTGTAGCTTTCGAGTGTTCAGTTAGTTGGTACACCTTTGATGACAATACACACCTCCGCATATGTAGCCAACTCGTCTTTCATTCGTTCAAGGTCGGCCAGACCTGAAACAGGGATTATTCTGTGCATAACATCATCCTGCTTGAGGAGTTCCGCAAGTATTTTCGCTGCACACAACGCATCAACATCGGGAGCGACAAGGATTATGACAGACGAAGCAGATGTGAGCGGCGAGCGGCGGTGTGCCACCAGTATGTTTGCGTAGGCCTCAGCATAGGCAGGTCGTGAGGCAGATGCGAGGTGCGGTGGCGGAAGAAAGACCATAAGACCGAAGGAGTATGCGGAGAACGACTTGTGTCTTCCTGTTTGAAACAGACGTTAATCATCATACGCGACGCGTCGCGTATAATAACACGTGCTGTCACACCGTGAGTCTGTCACAAACGCAATATGATGTTCCTTTATTTATTTATTTTTTGGAGAAGCGAGTTTATTACATGGCAACCGACACCGTCTGGCCCTATGTAAACGCTTATAGCAATACTTACTAGTAAGTATCGTCCGAGGAAAAATGCTCTTATGCACCCTTCACATCTGTGAAGTAGTGTGGGACTCTAATACTACCTGGTTTCCACGGTCTGCGAGGGCCTGGGTACACCGCCAACTGCCGAAAACCTCTCACACAGGTTTAAAAGTGGTACCCCGTAGCTGACCTAATAACAGCCCCGGTCCAATGGTGTTCTCGGCACCTCCTACTGAGCAATATGATATATATGTAAGGAAGTATGGGAGTGAAGGGACCAAGAGACCTGCTTATGGCCACCAAAAGAGGTATCAGAGGTGCTGGGGATACCCTGGCGACCAGACCTGTCACATAGGTTGGTTTCCATAGGTTGTACATAGCTCTCCCTGGTATCAGACATACATAGAGTCACAGGTGTCTGTGATGTCTGCTCAACATTGTGTGCATCATCCTGACCTTGCAAGCAATTATTACTGCTATCAATTATGCATATTTTTATTTGTGCTATTGCCATCACACTGAACATCCAAGCAAATGAAGCAGGCCACAAAAAACATTCCATTACAATGAATTGGATACAGATGTGATTAGTAGGTGGAAATGAGTGTGGTATGTATGTATATGTGCATGGATAGGTGAATAAGCAGTGGCAACA